AGACGTTTATCTGTTGATGACCTTTTGACCTCCTGAATTCTGCAATGAGATTTTCGGGTCGATTCAGCCGAGACGGCCCGAGTGGAGTTTCATGTAAATGTTTCGTACGGAAAAAAAAATCGCGGACGGGATAGGTCTTGCCGAGTATATAATTACATATGGCGACATCTTCTTAATATCTAAAATAGACACAAGCTACAATGAAACCTGTTTGCACGTTAGCATGTATATGTTACATGAGTGGAATAAAGTGCTAGATTATCATATCGCAACATTCACTGAATTACGAACGAACGTATTTGCAAATTTTATTCTCTCACGAACCAATGAGCGATCGCGACTCAAACAACACGTACAATTGTCGATGTAAAAGGGGAACTCCCTCGTTTGTGCGCTTGCGCATTGATGTCCGACGATCTGGTGGAAAAACTCTGTCTCTGGGAAAAACCAACGCCGCTATATCCGTTTCGAATAATAGTTTTGTTTCTATTAATAACGTATCACCAGTGACACAATTAAAAATGAAATACTTTTGAAATTACGGTTTACGAATGAAATTTGTGTTTAGATTATTCCATATGTGTTACGAGTAAGTTATTTTTCAATTTGTTTTAATGCTAAGCCTGGGCTAGGCCTACAACAACTATGGTATGTTAAGTGGAACAAGTTGTCAATGCAACTGCCTCCACCAGAACAATCGACCATCTTGGGTACTCTACTATTACATACTACTCAGCTAGGTGGGCTTGAACAACGTCAAACCAACAGCGCCACAACATAGTCTCTTCCTATATGATTTTGAAGTGTTTTTATGTATAAAATACGAAGTGTATTTTTGTATTAACGAGTGAAAATTTAAACTGTAAAATATGAATCGTTATTAAAATTTAAATATAATGAAATGTTGTTGGCAATATTTTGTTCGTGTTAGTGTTCAACCAGTGGCAGGTTCAAAGGTAGCCGCTATTCAAGGTTCTCTATATTATGTCATGTCACTATTCATCATTATTTGCAAATAAGTCATACAGTAATTTGGACATTCTTTTCTTAATATGGTATTTGGTTTCTGTAAATGGTGGAATCCGCCTTAATTTTATGATAGAATTCTATTTTATCCACATCAATATATAACCAGCAGATTGATCAGCTTTCAATTTCATATTGATATTGTTACGTACTTTATTGAGACAAAATAAGTATGAAATTTGCTTTTGTTTGAGTTAGAAGTTCACAATTCCTGTTTGTTTCCATATTGTCAGTTCAGAAATCTGAGTTTGATTAGTTAGATTTATTAACCTTGAAGTTAGGACAAAGTTTATGGTTTTGTCCACTGATAAAGGTAGATGAAGTTTAATTTTACAGAATTTTCTAGTCAAATCTATATTTAGTCAGCTAGATCTATATTTCTGGATGACTGATGTTGTAATGTATTTTTACAGTCTAGTGGTACCCCCTTTTACAGTACCCCTTTTACACTGCAAATACCAGACTTCTCAAGTTCGTAAAATGCATTTCCGCAGGGGCGGACTTGGTGGGGGGGGGGGGTGGCGGGGGGGGGGGGTGTGGCCACCAAGCCAGGCTGGGTCCGGCCCCTCTTTTGGAAAGTAAAGAAAAAGAAATAATTGATCGTTCAAACGAGTCTAGAAAACAAAAATTCCGCGGGAGCATGCCCGAAACCCTCTAGGGTAGTGTTATCTCGATCGGGGCCCCCTCTTTCGGACATCTCTGGATCTGCCCCTGTACTGTATGTCTTCAGATAAATAAAAAATTTCTCTAGTACCTAAAAATAATTTGCCTTTAGTACAATACTTGATACTTGATATAAGTGGGAAAAGTTAGGCAAACGCCTTTAAGACCCCACAGCTGTCCAGTCTGTTCTTGAACAGCAACAACCTCTTGTGGTAAGCTATTCCAGATGTTTATTACGCGATGTGAGAAGAATTCCATTCTGCATTTCAAAAATTTGTTAAGTTTTGGTTTGTATAATTTATATTCATGTCCTCTCCTGCTAGTGTCCTCGACAAAGATAAAAAATGTTCCACAATCCACGTCTTCAAAGGACTTAACAATTTTAAAAGTTTCAATAAGATCTTCTTTAACTCTCCGTTGTTCCAAGGTATACAGATTCAATTTGATTAATCTCTCACTATAGCTCATATTTTTCAAAGATGGCAGTAATTTTGTAGCTCTTCTTTGAACTTTTTCCAGTATACTTACTGTATGTCCTTTTTTAAGCCCGGGCTCCAAGCCTGAATTCAATATTCTAGGTGGGGTCTAACATATAATTTATATAATATTTTAAAGCTCTCTATATCCATATATTTGAATGACCTTTTAATGGTACGAAGACTGTTTGTTGCTTTCTGTGCTGCTTTCGTACACTGTAATGATGTTTTACCATCGTTTGAGACAGTCACACCCAAGTCAGTTTCTATGTCTGTTGATTGAATAGCAATATTTCTCATCATGTAAGCTGCCCCAGGGTTACTTCTTCCCATGCATAATTTTGCATTTATCAGTATTGTACTTTAGTAACCAGTCATCCGACCACTCCAACAATCGGTCAACATCTGATTGCAGTGTTAGGCAGTCATTGTTAGACTTGATGGGAGCAATTAGCTTGGTATCATCAGCAAACATTAAAAGCTTATTCCTCACATATTCTGTTAAGTCATCCACATACACAATAAATAATGTGGGTCCCAGGACAGACCCCTGGGGAACTCCACTAACAACTTTTGCTTGTGTTGATGACTCACTTCTAACAGATACCGTTTGTGTTCTATCACATAAGTAGTTTTTCAACCACTTAATCAATTTACCATCGAATCCATCAACTTCAGGATCAATCTTTTATGTGGCACCGAATCAAAGGCTCTTTGATAATCTAAATATAGAATATCAACATCATTCCCACAATCAAGCTCTTTGGTGATGATCTCAAAGGACTCCAGTAGGTTTGTGAGACATGATTTTCCAGTCATAAAGCCATGTTGATTCCGGGATGGAAGGTTGTTTTCTTTTAGATGAGCCCACATCTTGTCTTTTATAAGAGATTCCATTATCTTACAAGGTATACTAGTTAAACTTACAGGTCTATAATTTCCTGCTGTAGTTCTTAATCCTTTCTTAAAAACTGGAACAATTCTAGCTGTTTTCCAATCCTTTGGCAATTTACCAGACCCAATAGATTTTTCAAAAATGATTGAAAGTGGAACAGCGATTTGCGCACTACACTCTTTCATTACCCTTGGATGGATACTGTCTCTTATACACATCTAGATTGCATTACAGTTGTGGAATTTCAAATAAACTGGACAGGATTAAGAGTTATCGGTCACTTTTCAGTACAATCGGGCCCACTCAAATTGGGTTCAATGGTCCTGAAAATGGGGCCAATCGTCCTGGGCCTGATTGTCGTTGGGTCTCAATTGTCTGTAATTTGATGTGATATTTCAAACAAATGGGACAGGATAAAGATTGACGGGCCACTTTTTATTTGTTTTCACAATTATTTATTGCTATCCAATAAGTATGAGTTGGCTAGCGACAATGTACAGTAAACCAAAGATCCTAATGGAAAATTTATTTGTTCTGGACTTTAGACCTATTTACCTAGGCCTATGATAGATTTCCGTAGTATTTTGTCCTTTTCTGGACGTACCTAATAAGCAAAATTTCCATAGTACTTGACATGTTTGCAGTACAGGTGAAACACCGGGGAGCAAGAGTGATAAGGGAGGGAATTTTAAAAAGCCTTCTTTTATCTTAGTTGCCATCCTAAAACAGATAATTGTGTGACCATTGGAATAGAGTTTTATATACTTGTTACTTGGTGCTTCTATAGCGCTTGTTCCTTGCGGTTACAAATTACAGTATATACAGTGTAACCAGTTTGCTGGGAAAGTTGAAGAGGTGTAATAAAATGTTAATAAAATACATACATTATATTTGGAAATGAAATATTGTAGAGCCATAAATATTTGGAGTACAGTATTTTATAATCAGAGGGCTCTGAGGGTATAATGTTTCTATGTGATTAATTTTTATTGTCCTGTTCTTGCTTTTGTAAGAACTTTATATGGTTTGTAATATAATCATTATGTATGTGCCTATCTCAAGTTAATAACTTCTCAAGTTAGTAATATGCATTTCAGTAACCGACAAGTTTGAGAAACCAAATATTCTGGTGGAAATATCAGTTGTTCTGGACGTTAGACAATATATAAACCTATTTCATTATGGGTCTAGGCTTAATGATAAATTTCCCTAGTATTTATGGTCTATTTCCGTACATCCGTAATTAGGCTAAATTTCCGTAGGAACTACAGACGTTCCATGACCTCTTCTTTGCAACAAGGATTCTCAACTAGTTGTTTCACCATGAAAAACATCTGAGGATCGCATACAACTGGTGTCTCTGCTGTTATTCGCCTATCGCCGTGTAAAATGCAACATTAAGCTTCATTACAGTTCAGTGTTTGTACTACTTCCCATTTACACTGACCAAATCCCTGGTGATGTATGACCAGGTGTATACACTGCAGGATAACTCTTGAAATTGAGCTGTCAGTGTAAACAGGACTTTAGTCTTTCCTTCTGGTTCAGACATGGTATACTGCTGTGCAAAGTACTGTAAATCCAGGATACTTGATAATCTAATAAAGTTTATTTTTATATCATTGACTTTGACTTTGATGTAGTCATAACTTGAAAAATAAACCCTTAAGGAAACCTTGGTAGGTCAACAGGAAGCATAACATTGTGTTGTTGTAGTTTTGTTTTTGTTTCCTTATTACTTTCCATACCATAAAACCTAGAATTGAAGCCCAATGAGCATAACCTCAAGATGAAGCCCCACTCGAATAGAAGCCCATTTCGAATTGAAGCCCTCTTTATTTTGCAAAATTAGCCTCGAAAAGAAGACCATGGGCTTCTTTTCAAAATAGCATAGGCTTCTTTTCGAGATAGTACAGTACTGTACATACACTGAATTTCAAAAATGCAAAATAAATCCTCAATGCAAGGAAAACGCAAGAGAGGACGACAAAAGTTGAGATAGGCTAATGGCATACGTTCAGCAACAGGCCTATCCATGAATGAAGCTTATAAAATCAATCATACCGAAGGATGTCATCAGAAGCGGCATCAACAGATCAGCCATGAACCAATGGATAAGAAGAAGACGACCAAAGAAATTATACAGATAGCATAGAAATAGAATAGAATAAGTTCACCAAAAAGAGGAAATAATTCCAGAAAAAAACATTGTATTGCCAAACCTGACCAATTAAATATTTTGAAAATATTGGGTCAGATTGTTTTGTTTTAAACCGAAAAGAAGCTTTATTCATTTCTGGTTATTCATAAAACATATACTGTAGACATAGCAGTATAAAGTCACTGAATTGTGTCAATTTACATAAGCTCTAAAATGCCATAGCACACTTACAGTATATCAAATTGATATACAAAAAAATTACAAGAAAAAGAGAACCGTAAAATCAGCAAATGAAGTGAAGTCAGTACAGTAGTTGTTTAGAAAGTAGTGATTAACCACAGAAGTTTTCTATACATTGAAGCTTAAAATATTACGCTGTACTGTATTTGGATGTTATTTTTGATAATATATTTTCGCATTTATTCCTATTGTATATTGAAAGATTTACAATGAATGGTTTATTTTTTAGTTTTAGTTTGAAGCAATCAGGAAAGTTTAATTGACAGCTAAACAACTGACACAATGATATCAAGTTCAAAACAGTACATCTGGAGTGAGAAAGATGTTCTGGGCTCAGGTGCAACCAGTACGGTGTACACAGGTAGATCAAAGGTAAGCTCCATGAACAATAACCTTTATCCAAATCAACTAACATAGATCCACTAACATGTTAACAGGCAGTACAATAGATTCTATCTATCTATTGCACAACAAATTGATAGTGATAGTGTCTACTTCATAAACACTTACCTGAATGAACGGATATATGCCAATTTCCTTTAGAATCTTACCTTTATTTAGTAATAATGAACATACAGTAGATAAAGGGACAAACATTGCAAAATTAATTTAAAAATACTCAAATACTCTACTGTTACAAAGATAATAAGAAAATTCCAAAATAAGACAAAAGACTTTCAAACACATTACTATTTTTAATGATATTGTTATATATTTACTATTATTTTTATTATTTAATATTTTTTAGTCCAAAGGAAGCAAGGTTGCGGTGAAAGTATTCAACAACTCAAGTTTCATGAGGCCTGGCGAGGTGCAAGACAGAGAGTTTGAGGTTCTCAAGCAACTGAGACACAGAAATGTTGTTCAACTTCTTGCAATAGATGTCGATGTGAGTGTCTTTCAGATCCCAAAGGTCTTATAATTACAAGATAGTGCTCTCCACGATTTACGCGTACCAAACAGAAGCATTGATGTTCAGTAAAAAGAAGCATAAAATAAAAAGTAATCATTTTTGAGAGAGGGCATCCTAGTTGTTACCATGGCCATTACAGAATTCAAACACAGATGCGCTATCTGTAGTTAGTGATCTTTGATGTCAAAGTTGAAAAGTAATCATTTTTGCTGCGTTGTTACAGAATTTTCACACAGAAATCGAGGAGAACGCTACAGTATCTTGTAATTGTAAGATCGTTGGTACCTTCCAACATAAAAAGAATGAAACAAGCCTCCTAATTATAGAACCCTCCATTTAAAGACTACCTCCATTTAAAGACCGCTTTTCTGTGGTCCCAAGTTAACTAATGTCTAATATCTTTATTATTCTAATTGGAGACCTAAGCTGCTAAAGACCATGGAAACCCCAGTCCCCAAAATGATCTTTACTTGGAGGGAGACCTGTAATTAAATAACAAATATGTTGTCTAATAATGATTATATTGATAATGAAATTGATGATGTAACACTGTTGCCAAAATAATATTGAATGATAATGATAAAATTTATGACAAAGAGGAGAAACATGATGATAAGAACAATTGAAATTGTTTCAGCTATTTTCCTCTAACATTGGTTTCAGACTGCACTCTCTAAACTGCATAAATACAGAATGAATGAATAGCAACAAAAATTTAAGATTGAAATTATGAAAATGAAAATTTCCATTACAGGAAAGAAGTCGGCAGCGGGTCATCGTCATGGAATTGTGTAGTAAGGGCAGCTTGTATACAATGCTTGACCAACCACAATCCATCTTCGGGGTTCCAGAACAAGAGTACAAGAAGATACTTGCTGATATTTGTAAGTAAAAATTGTATATATATTCAATGAACTTTTTTGTGAAACACATGTAAGGACCAAGCAACAATGAATCAAAGTATAAATTTAACCAAGCTATATTTTTATTGGCAGGTTGTGGAATGAAGTATCTCAAACAAAAAGAAATAGTACATCGAGATCTGAAGCCCGGAAATATAATGGTCTTGGAAGACAAAGATGGACAAAACGTGTACAAACTTGCAGACTTTGGAGCTGCAAGACAACTCGCAAATGATGAGAATTTTGTTTCTTTGTATGGAACAGAAGAGTATCTGGTAGGTTTTCTGCTTTAATATGTAATCACATGTGTTTTCAAGTGTAAGATGCTGTCTTATCAACCGATAAATGTCTAAGTTTCTTTTGAAACTTACCTCTGAAGCATAAAAAAATGTGAAAAGGAAACAAGGATGGACAAACCCGCTCTTGAAGTATGACCCACATAGAGTTCCAGTGGAGGTAATTAGGGGCAAATAAGCATCGCTTCCAGCCTCTACACCCAAGTAAACCCAAGTAAGTAAGGATATTTTTCATTCACACAGGCTGTATATAGGCGAGCTAGGTTGATTTCCATTATTTTTCTTTTATGCTCGAGAGGTAAGTTACAAAGGAAACTCGGGCATTTATCGGCTTATCTATGTAAGTATTTTACTCGTAGACTAACACCATCACTACTGATTTGTTTATTTTTAGGAATGACCTACATAGTGAATCAGTGGGATGTTTGATTATTTTGGCAAAAAAGGGTTGTGTTGCTCAATTTAGCCCGACTGACACAACATCTCAAAATCTAGAGTCAGATTTTTATTTTAGCAATTATTTTTCTTCCAATGAGGACCCCAAAAGCTTGTATGATGTTACTATTTTACAAACCCAAAATGTTCAATCTCTATGACCCAAACCATCATCTTCACTCTGCTAATAAAATTCTTCTCATTCCGAAATCTATAACAAAAAAAAACAATTATTATTATTAATGTTATGATGGTGATGTCACTGCAATATATTTTTGCCCTTATGCTGTAGCACCCAGACATGTATGCCAGAGCTCTGTTGAGAGAGACACCACAGAATGCATTCACATCTAAGGTTGACATGTGGAGTCTTGGTGTTACATTGTACCACGTTGCCACTGGACGTCTGCCCTTCAGACCTTATGGTGGCCGCAGCAACAAGAAGACAATGTGAGTTTGATTCATATACAAATTTGAAAATCAATATTATTCTGTGATTATTATGATCAACAATATTTGGTCATCATTGTATCATAATTATTTTGATTATTATTGTTGGTATTATTATTGCTATTATAACATTGTTAGTTTAATTAATATTATTGCCTTTAATACTAATTTTATTTATTGTTTTTATTAACATAGACATTTCTATATTAAATTCAGTAAAATAGTTTTTCTTATTCTAGTCTTCCATTCCTGTTTGTTTTTGTAATTGTTATAGTTATACACTAGTCATTATTGTTATAATTGTTGTTATTATTTTGATATGGTTTGATTTTACCATTATCCTCAGGCATTACTTGGCAACAAAAAAAGCATCAGGGGTCATATGTGGAATCCAAAAAGACTCTGTGGATGGACCAATCACATGGGAGCGAGAGCTGCCCAAGTCCACCCAAATGTCAATGTAAGTCAAGACAAGATAATTATATTTCATTTTGCAATTCAGGTCTACCTCCAATTAAAGACTACTTTGATCTCATTAAAATAATAAAAATAAAAGACATTTGTTAATTTGGAAACACAGGAAAGTGGTCTTTAATTGGAGGTGTCTTCAATTAGAGGCAGACCTGTAGTTGCACATTGTCACTAATGTCAATTAAAACATGACAATTCATGATATTGGATCCTATCATAATTGTGAGTTATGAAAACCATTCCTCATCTGGCACAGCATGTTCAAGAGGATGCTGACCCCACTGCTGGCCGGTCTTCTTGAGTCTGACCCAAAGAAAATGATGTCTGCTGAAAGATTTTTTGAAAAAGTGGACAGCATCCTAAATATGGAGGTATTTGATGTCTTTGATGTGCAGAAAGCACAGATGTTGAAAATATATCTTCACAAGGATAACACGTAAGTCGCATTATCGTCTCTAGAATCTTGAAGTAAAATTTATCTTATTTTCATCATCATTGTCACCACTACCATCATAATCATTATCACTTTTACCATCACCATTATCATTATTACCACCACCAGCATTACCATTATTATCAACATCTTCTTCTATATTATCTTAGTCATTATTATCATCAGCATCATCATCGTATCATATTGACCGTTATGAATATCCTCATCGTCGTTGTCATTGTCCTTTTATCGTTGTCCTCATCCCCGCATTTTTTGCAGGTATCATCATTTAATCATCATCATTACCTTCCATATAAATGATGTTATCTATGCAGTGTTTATTGCACTGACAATAAAAATCATATTTATATTTAGATTTATATAAAATACTTATACAGTGTATGATTGATACTTAGATTTGAACATTTGAAAGAAAGCATTCAGCAGTTGTCTGATATCGCAGTACCAGACCAAATGATACTATACCAACAACAGAATTATAACCCAACAACTCCCTGCAAACAGTTTCCAAATACAACAGAGAAAGAACCGATGATATTGCTTCAGAAGACCCTGCAAGCTCCGTGGAGTGTCGCCCCTAGTTATACACGTAAGTCCAGATTGTACTCCAATATTTTTTCCGTACAGATAATATTCCAGATATTACTGGTTGGATAAACTGTTGTTAACTAATGTGTGCATACTGAACCATGGAGATCCTGTAGTAGATTACGCACACTAGCGACATGAAGCACCAAGATCGTCACAGGAGAGTGAAAAAAAAAATAAAAATAACATTTTGTTTTTTTACTTAGCAAATAGTTTTGCCAAAAACATACAAATGGAGGAGAAAATAACTAAAATTAAATTTACATAATTGGGAAGAAATATACATTATATTTTTGCAAATTTCAAGGCAGCAGTGGGTGTAATAAAAATAAACAAAAACCTTTATTTTTTTTTTAAATTGGCCAAAAATAAAATGTTATTTTTATTCAAAATCATCATTACTGTCAGGCAGCAGGTTCACCAAACAAGGTATAACAGAAGTCTTGCCTTAGTATTGTAATTCTAATTTGCTGGTGTAAATAATTTTTTCAGCGGACTTTCCATCACTACCGTCAAATTCACATCCAGATGCAGATTATTCATATTCAAAGGTGATGTAACACTTTGTTAATACAGTCATAATTTGTTTTTGAAACCCGCAGCCTAGTTTTTTTATATTGCATGTTGTATTTATTTGTATAGAACTTAGAAACAATATTATTGTGTTATTATTATTATTATTATTATTATTATTCTTTATTAACATTATTATTTTTTAAATTTTCATAGAAAAATATTATAATGGCTTGTATTGTATAAAAAAGTTATTCCAACATTTTTTTTCAGTTTTATCCTTTCCAATCTATAAACTAAGGATTCAATTATAAATACATATAAAGGCATTATACTCAGAGACTTGTAAAATAGACATTTAGGCTGTTAAATACTTATTGGAATTATTGGTATAAACATGAAAATGCTCTTGTATTGTTCTTTAGACCAGTGCTGGTATAACTTTTTTTTTAGGCGGAGAGCACTACAGGACACAGTGGTATTCTGTGCACCTCTTAATGAGACTTTATAGTCATTAGGAGTCTTGAAGTGGGGGGCTGATAGGGCTTGAAGATGAAGTGGGAGCTCGATAATTAAGTGGGAATGGGGGGAGAGAGTAGCAAAATATTGCTCACTGTATTGTCATCATCAAATTTATTTTAGTATAAACATGAAAATACTCTTATATTGTTCTTCAGATGAGTGCTGGTGTGATGTTTTATAGGCAGCGAGCACTACAGAGCACGTTAAATGCCCAGCATGTGTTTGACAGTGCTGTTTATTCCTTCAGGTCAGTATAGCATATGGTATGAACATTCATCTGTTGACAAAGAAAAACATTCTAGTGGTTTGATCCATACTAAAGTGCAACCTTCTTCACTCTCTAAAAGGTGTAGAGAGCACACAAACAAATTTAGGTAAAGCACCTGTACGTAAGAGCACAATGAAAATGCCCAGTGAATGGATCAGGCGTCAACCTCAAGATTAGAGACCAAATTGCAGATTCTGCACCACACATTCTTACAAAAAAATTGACACAATTGTATATTTAAACATAGTCATTTACCAAAATAGATACCTTTGTGTCTTGCTGTACAATCCAATTTGCTTAATACCTCACAGAGTTGTAATACGGGAACTCTTGCAAAGAGTTGAGAGAAGGATGGCTGATGTCGCAAGGTTTAAGGTGAAAGTAGTGACAAACTTAGAAGGCCTGAAGAACCATTTGAATTTTTTACACACACTAGAGGACATTCTCCAAGTGACAAAAGAAGAGGGGCAGGGAAACAGCATGGAGATATCAGAAATTGAAGCCCTTGTCATAGAGGTAATATACTAATTTCTTCAGTAATCACTTTGATTTACCTGTTGATATTCGTAATGAATTAGATTTTATGGCCACCATATTTAAATTCAAGGGTTTAAGTAAAGAAATGTTTTAAATGATTCATATATTTTTTTTTATATATATCTTAAATTGTACATATTTTTGAATAGGGATATTTAATTAAAAAAATTTTTATACTATATTATAGGTATATTTTTAGGTGTTTACATGTATTATTTTCAACCTTGGAGAAAAACTCGACAGTGATTTGTTTCACTTTTCCTGTCGGATTATTAACATGTGCTCAAATTACATGAAATGTCAGAAAACTAAATTGTAGGAGTGTTGAAAGATACATACTCCAAGTATTGAAATACACACCATCGTGTTGGGATTCAATATTTCGCCATTAATTATGTCATCATCACGAATGAATGGAAAGATACAGTTACAATTAATTGGCTGAAATATTGCACCATTTATGAATTATATTTTAGCACAACTGATCTCATTGAAGAAGAAAGCCATTGTGAAGCTGGCCCTTTTTCAAGTGCTCATTGTTTCTACCATGTTACAACAATTCCCAGCTTTACATGGAAATTAATCACGACCTGTGATTAATCTAATTAATAAGATATATATGTTTTTTTAATAGATAAAGAAATAAACAATATGATTTTGATTATGGTTGTTAGATTCAAGAGGACTATCAAACACAAACCACAATCCTACATGTCTTAGATCAAGAACTTAATGAAGACAAGCTTAATTCCTTCCGCCTGGTAGAAAGTCTGTGTTGCGATCCAGGACAAAGATGGTAATTACTCCTGTTGTTGATTTTGGAGTGTGCATCACAATGTATTTTGGTTTAATTGTTTATCAACAAAACTAATTATTTGTTCATTTTAATTGCAGTACTGAGCGATTTCAAGTAGCTTTGAATTTAGTCTTGGAAAGTCTAGAAATATTTAAGGCTAACAGACGTTCAAAGCAGCGAGAAAGTGTACATATTGTTAATCTTGAAAAGTAAGGAATCATTCATTTTATTGCAATTATAATATTGCATCTTTACAACTTCAAAACACCGAAGCATTACACAATAAAATATTCTCTGGTGTTTGTGGTACAGTTGTAGCTTGGCAGTATTTTTACTATTACTCAAAACAGTGCAATCCTCGGCGGGTGCGCTAATTGTCCGAAAATAAAATTTTATTTCAGGTGGATGTATCTAAGTCAGTACAGCACTATTGTTGTTATTGTGACCAATTGAAGAAGTAAATTTTGTTTTATCATTTTTAAACAGATTACGATTGAGAGATTCCTGTGTAGAAGCTTGGAACCACCAGAGCGGACATTGTGAAACAAATTTAAAAAATATCCATACAAAATTCAATGATTGGTACAACAAGTAAGTTATAATAACAATTATTTCCCCAAAAAAATTATAATGGTAATAACAAATGCTAATAAATGATTAACGATTTTCTGCATGTTTTATGAGCATGCTACAGAAAATCCTAAAGTGCATGGTGTTTATGCCTGTTTACGGCTGCTAGGTAGTCACGGACCACGCCCATACGCATAGTGTTTATGTGATAATCTTTTTTTGTTACAGAATGTCGATTCTTGGTAAGATAGAAAAAATAGAGGAGAAAGTGGATTGGTTTAAAATGAAATATGATGATTTACAGAAAAATATTGAAAAGGTAAAAGCTGATAGTAAGCAGTGAGTCAAATGGTATCGGAAATTTGCCACAAAATTTATTTAAAAACTAGCGAGTACTTAATTTTGACTATTAAGTCTTTATCAATTTTCCATATTTTTATTTTCAGGTGATGGAAGATCTGGAGAAGAAACAAGATGTTTTAGTTTCAAATTTTAAAAATATGACAGCAAAGGAATCAGTAAGTACTGCAAATATACCTATAGCACACAAACCTAATATTAATGAAAGAGATCGATTTAATCTTTATGAGGTCTTTTTCTTTACAGTACATATCAGAAAATTCTCAGTTCCCAGTGTTAAGTCTGGGAATGGGATTTACATTTGAGGGCTTGACATATATAGTATAACATATGTAATTTTTTTTTTTTTTATCTGAATTTCTGTAGCGCTTTCCACAATCTGAAGAATATACAGGGCATTATTCCCCTGGAGTTGGCAAACCTGCACATTTAATGCAACTTTCTCTGCCCCCTAGGGAGTATCCCTAGTCATGCCACTTTACATGCACAACCCATACTTTCAATGCCACACCATCCTACCAGATACCCATTTATACTCTCCTGGGTGGAGAGAGGCAAACATAAGTAAAGTGCCTTTCTCAAACTCCCGATTTCATGATCAGCACCACACACTCCTACTTACTACTCCTACTTATTTAGTTCAAATATTTCTATATATTGTTGCTGTTGTTGCTAAAGTTAGTTATCTTTAATACAATCAATTAAATTGCTGATTAAAAATATCAATTAAAGTTACCAAATTAATGGTTTATAATCAGGATATTTTGTATTTTTATCTTTGATTTGTAGATGAAAAGCAATTCTTCAGGTGGTTCATCTGCAAGTCAACTTTCCTTAATGAGTGATTTTGAAGTCATCAGCAGTCTGGTTGCTTCTATCCCTGAGGAAGAAGTTGACCGACCCAAAGGTGGGCTACCTTTTCTGCAACAAACGATAACCGGCATTGGAAGAAAAATACAAGTAAAGAAGGACATAAAACAGCAGTATGTATTATGTATTTGCTTTATAATGTAATAATTATGAAACTTTATGTTTTCATTATTTATTTTATATGTAGATATTACCCATACACACATTACAGCTTTTATATAGCTACCTTTCATGAAGATCAGAGTGCTGATTTGTGGACCTCAGTAGCTCATGCCGGAAGTTTCTTCTCCTTTAAGGGTCTCTTCATGTCTGAGCTACCTGGTAAACCAGTACTTCATAAGAAAAATACTTTCCTGACACACAAGCCAGCCCCTTCCCCCACCATGAGTTTTCTCTCTCCTGAGCCCCATGACTAGCTGTTACCCCACTGATATAGGACATTAACTGTTTTGCTAATAAGGGAAAATACCTTGCTCTGTAATACCTCCTTGAAAACAGCTAACATGGCTCTTTTCTATTTCCAGGATCATCAAAGGGGATCCAAAAGAGAAAGAAAAAGATGAACTTGATGAATCAACAAAGTTAATGGAAAAGTTTGAGCAGGAATCTGCCTCTTTTTACACCAGGTTAAGTAGCACATTCTCCTCTAATGAATGTCCTAAGCAATAAATATCAGCTTGTGGCTAAGTACTTAAAATGACCAATTATACTATTGCTATAGAATTTCTTTGTACATGTGTAGTAATGTAAAGTAATGTGTAAATGGAAGTAACAGGAACAGAAGACTTATTGTTAGCTTCAAATGTGGACTAGCCTTATCAGACTAATCTTATTGACTATAAATACTTTTTAAAATTATGAATAGATTTTACTACAGAATATCTGTAGTGTTAATGAGGGAGACACATAGACAGGAGAGTGGGTAATACAGCAAATCCATTCAAACATAAACTGTTAAGCTTGGCATATTTGCATTAAATTGAATATTTTTCATTTTTTAGATCATTCTATTTGCCATATTGGCATTATACTATATATTTGCATTATATTTACATATTTGCCATGTTGGCATTATATTACATGTCTTAACGGTATGTATTATATTTTCAATCGATGTATACACTGTATTGCATTGTGTATTTGCAATATATTTGGATAATTGGCATAGTTTGCTAACCTTTTTTTTTAGGTTTTTTTTCATTTTTTTTATTATATGCTCCCTTCAAGGTTACCAATCTTATTTTTAGATTATAAATGATGGTGACAACATCTTTACATGAAGTGAAAGCTTGACTATGCTTAAACCATATATTGCTTTTAAACTTTTGTAAATACTTTGATTGATGAAAAAAAATACTATAAAATGCTAGAAGTGAATTTGATCATAGGTTCATAGATAACCTAAAAATATTGGGGACTTCTTTAACTTGGTGTTCAAATAATATTCAGGATAAATAATCTAGATTCACAAAAAAATATGGCTTATTCCTATATAAAATATACATATAATTTAGATATCGTTACTAATGCATTTTATATATTAGAAACATTTAACTTTCATTTTAAAAAGATACTCTACTTTATTAAGGGATCCACAGGATGGGTTAATAGCTACAATTATAATTTCTTATCAAATATGGTTTAAAAAGTAATTTTAGCTAGTATTCTATAGCTTTTATCTAGTGTGGCTCTTTTTGCAATTGCTCACCTCCTTGCCTACAAATATGCATAACTTATCAGCGACAAATCCATAATTGTTTTACGGTAACGGAAAGTGGCAGTTGAGGACAACTATGTCCAAAGTCAGGCAAGAGAGTAAGATTTTGGGGTGTTTCCTTGCCTACTGTGAAGAACCAGGGATGGAGTTTTTCCATATTGATCTCATATAAATTAAAGGTGATTGTAATGTAAATATATTGTACTGTTCATATATCATAATTAATGTTATACTTTTTCTTTATTGTCAAAATGATCTAAGCTTTTATTGTGTTGGGTGCCAACCTTGTATTACCACATTTATGGGTTCATATCATTTATCGATCACAATTTGTAACTCTCCCTTGACTCTTATAATTTTTTTTGATAGAGGGACGTATTTCAACTAACCCCAATTTGTTATCTTTAATGGCTACTGAATTGGGAGGGTGTCTTGATCACCCTGCAGCAATAAAGATAACAGCTGAACAAAGGGTGGATGAACTCTCTATACTCAACGGCCAGCCATAGTTCATATGGATTCAAATTAATATCAAAACAAAGGTCTAGCACATAGAAGCTTTAGCTATTATGCACTCTATAAATCCATACTTATTATTAAGAGGTTTGTTTTCGTATGCAGTTTTTCTTTACCTTATGCATGTTAATTTGTTCAAAGCAAGGCACAATGATTCAAAGCACACTATGGTCCACCAGCCTACTGTATAAGACTTTGAAATATTTCATCAACAAGCTCCCTCTAACGTCTCTTGCCTAACTGCTCCTTTGTAGGGCCCCTTGGAAAGTTTCCCTTTGTAATAAAAAAAAAATACTAAAAGTAATTTCATTTTTACAAGTGGTTTTATACACTAGGAGTTTTGTCTGGGTCTGAATTCATGAAAGAAGCCAACAGGTAATAAGTAAATCTATTTAATTATTAGTTAACTTTGTTTAATTAACAATTGCTCCAAACAATGCTTGGGAGCCACTCAGGTATTAGTGTTAATTATTTAAAGAAACCAGTTCCTACCATTTTTTAATTGGGCTGATCAATTAGGAAAGGCACATACAATAAACATGGAGACAAAATTGCACCTATATAATGATCTCCAACTGGTTTATTTCTAGTGCAATATACTTATACCAATAATGGTAGATTATTTTGCGTATTATGAAAAGACCTGTATGCACTTCATATTATCATCACCCTGGTCATTGGATTAAATGCCTATGGAACTCAGCTCACCAAGGGACTATTCCATAACTTACAGATGTATACACAAATTTGTCTGTTTGCCTAACTAGTATTAATATATGAAATAAAATGTTTAATTATAGGATTATAGAGGAAATAATTGGCTTATTTAATTTGTACTGTTTATATTTCTACATTTTATCATGTTATTATAAAACTATATTTAATAGTACCATAAATTGTTGTTTAGTCTTTTATGTCAGAGATCGGTAGTCAATGAAACATTCCATTTTTTGATTTTCATAAAACGATTTTAAGATCCTACATGTTTGTTGTGTGTTTCTATTCAACGTGAGTAATTAGGGGCGGATCCAGAATTTTTCAAACCGGGGTGGGGGAGGGGGCGTGTGTGAGAGAGGGAGGGCACAACATTTTCAGAATAGATAATATTGAAATAAGGGCTAATTTCAATACATAACATTGATATGCATTGAAATTTTAAAATTTTGTGGCAATATGGGGAGGGGGAGGGGCACGTACAGCTGTGACCATGTGACCCTGTTCCCCCAGCTGGATTTGCGCCAAGTAATACACTGTTAGTTTCTATGTGAAGTAGCAATGTCAATTAAAAAAAATAATGTTAAACATATAATATTTGTAAGCTTATAATTATAAAGCATAGTATTCAGCAAGTCTATAGCAACGTGTATAATAACACTGCATTATTTGTTGTTATGGATCGACATGTAAATAGTGGATTGACTGTTCAGCTTGGTACAATGCAACCCATTCCCCCCCTGCCCCCCCTCTGGTGACATTACTTTTCACAAGGACCAAAATATCATGAAACTGCCAGGTTTTTCTTGCAACTAAAAATTTATTTTTAAAGATGCTGCAATATTTATCATAAAAATATTATAAACAGCCAAATAATCAGATACATGTGGACAATTTGCATAATAGAACATCTGCGTTTTGAATAATTTTACAGCCTTGAATTATAGTTTATAGTTTATGCTTTTGAGCGATGTAGCTCCATACCTATACAAATGACCAATCTGAACAGAATGAATATATATTTTACTTCTTTTACTTTGTGGTTTTGTAGAAAAAAAAAATTAAGAATAATATTGTTGTTATCAATAATAAGAAAAAAATATGTACATGTGTGTTTCTTTGATTTTGTAAACTTTACTGTATTGTTTTTGGATGCACCTTCTATTGAGAAATGTGCCTCTGATGGCAAAATGTAGGTTCCTAATAAACTAATATTATTATTATTATTATTAAGAAAAAACTGCACATTTTACCACAAAAAAAAAATCAGAACTAGTGTATTGCATAACAGGGAAAAAAATCGTTTTCAGTGTGAAGAATGATAAAGTTTTTATATCTTTGTATGTGCTAGTGTACATTTATGATACTGTGTTACATTTTCATATTTCACAGTATATGCTTTGCTGATTGGATATTCAATGACCAATCAAAATTAATAGTTTCAATTAGCAGTTGTGTCATGTGACAACCTCTGCCAACTGATTCTGTTGTATTTGATGAATAGGGCAAAATGAGTCTGTCTGTCAACTGTAAATAATGTATTGTGACTAGTTTTATAATGGTGAAATGTAAATTGAAAACTCGGCTAATAAACATTACAAAAGGTACCTGTGTGTTGTAACTTTCGTTATATGATCGTCCTTGTCTTCCAATATTAGCAAAATGAGAGTAGTTAAAATAATATATATATATATATATATATATATATATATTATAATATAGAAAATAATGAAACAACTTCAGTAGTAGACTTTAAGAACACTGATTTATTATAAACTCGGATATTTCTGCCACTCCTGTGGCCTTCATCAGCGAGAAATATAT